GTGTCCAGAGCTGCCTGGCCTAGGGAATCCTGCAATCCTTCTCCCTTACAGTCTTTTTTTTTTTATTTTGAGAGGTGAGGTGGGAATTGCCAATAGCTTATGATGATGCAGGATGACCTGGAGGGAATTGAGCGGGGAGGAAGGAACCAACATTCAATCCATGGCTTTAGGGAACCCATTAATTGTCGTTTTCAGAGTTTTTTTAACTTACTCTTTTTCTACCAAAAAATATGTGTGTTTACTGGAAACCCTTCAGCTCAGGGCAGAGTTGGCACCTTCTTGTGTGCACAATGGGTCACCAGCCTCTCTGACACCACCAGATCCCTGCCTGTCGGTGTCACTGTCACATTTTCTGGAAAAATCCTCTTGCCCAGGATTTCTCTGCTGGGAAGCTGAGAAGCCTCAGAGAAAAAGGAAAACAATATTATCTCATTTGCTTCTCCTGTGTTTTGCTGCTTTGGAATGTGGTTGGAGATTGTTTATCCAACATGTGAATTGTTTTAACTTAATGACCAATCACAGCCAGCTGTGTTGAGGCTCTGGAGAGAGTCGTGAGTTTTTCATTATTATCTTTTAGCCTTCTGTCTGTTTCCTTTCTGTTTTCTTTAGTATAGTTTAATATAGTATTATTTAATATAATATAGATAGTAAGATAATAAATAAGCCTTCTAAGAACATGGAGTCAGATTCATCATTTTTTCCCTATGACAGGGGACTCAGAAAATACCGCACGTCTGTCTGTCCTGTGCTTTGTGGCCATGTCCTCTCCTCTCCCGTGCATGAACACAAACAGCTTTGCAGCAGCTGCTGGGCAGCTCTGAGTGCACTGAGGGAGCTTCCTCCTCCCTGCTGTCCCTGTGCCACGGCTGCAGCACTGCCTCTCATCCACCCTGTGTGGGTGAGATCAGGTCGCCCATGTGCCACAGCTCTGGGCTCTTAAGTGCTGACATTAAATATTGAAGTGTCTGAGGAGCTGCAGTCACGTAGCATTGGGTGGGGAGTGTGTGGTGGCTCTGCCATCGTGCCTGAGCCAGGAATGCCAGGCTGGGTGGTGCCACCCTGGCACAAGGCTGAGGGAGCAGTGGGCACATCGTTGGTGGCCGTTGTCTGGAGATGTGCTTGTCTCCTGTCTCACACGTCTCACTGGGTGTCCCAGCTGGTGGCTCCCTGGTGCATTCTCACTAATAATCTGAACAACCTGGCAAGTGCAAAATAAAAATAAATGCACACCTAGATAAAATGCTATCAGCCCGACCAACCAAGTCTAAACTAAACACAGAATTTATCTGACCAAGTTTAGGATAAAACACAACTCGAGTGATTTGAATGTTAAATAATCTCATTGCTTTACGGTGTGATTCCCTGAGATGGTTATTCAAGCCTGTTCTCAGCAATGTGAGTGGTGGGCTCAGTCCTGCAGGCACTCAGAGAGGGAAAGCCACGTGCTGAGCATTGCCCTGGGATTGCCTGACATATTGCAATGCTGTGAGGGCTCCAGCGAAGGAGGAATGATGAGGAGGACTTCGTTGATATTAGAAGGTTTATTAATTACTTTATTATACTATATTATTCTATACATCTAAAACTGAACTTGCTAAGCACTGAGCTCTGTTCACAACTGCACACACTGCTCTGAATTTTGTGACTGTCAGTGGCAGTCCCAACACTCACACACATGCTTGGCCCTGATAGGCCAAGGAAGCAAAACACTGTGACTTTGGGTAAACAATCTCCATATTGCATTCTACTTTGGCACAGCAAATAATAAGAATTGTTTTCTTTCTCTGAGGTTCAGAGAATGTGAATCCCAGAAATATTCTTGCGAAGAATTGTGCCTTGCTTTTCTCTGTGAGGTGAAATGTGGGGCTGCACTGACACGCATGGAAGAGGAGCTGGATCCACAGAGCTTCCAGTGATTCACCCTTTCCCAGCAATGCTCACTCAGTTCATGCTGGCAGTAATTTCCAAGCTGTGATAGAGGGGATGTGGGTCTGGGTGGGACATCCTGGCACAGGCGCTGCTGCCCATGGTGTGTGGTGCCCTTGCCCATGGAGATAAACCTGGGTGGCCTTGGGGTGCACCTGGTGCCACCTGGCCTGGCTGTGCTGTGGGGGGACTCACTGGTGACGAGGCTGAGCGTTTGTGTCACGTGCAGGTGTCCCTTGGTTTGTGTCCCTTGCTGTGCAGTCCCAGAGGAGCCAGGACCAGCCGGGGTTTCAGAGCCAGCTCTGTCTCGTCTGACCTTGCTGGTGCCATGCTGTCTTTTGTTTGTAGTCTCGGGCAAGAAGCAATGGGAAAAGGGTTTGATAGGAGACAAAAGCAAACAATAGCTTTGCTCCAAAGATACGATGAATGGGATATAATTGGATTTTTTTGTGAGGACATTGATTTGACCCTGTGAGACACAGAAAGAATCATTAGGGGAATTAACACGCATTAAAATGCTGGGTTTTATCAGAGGGCTTTTATTGTGCCCATAGTTTTGTTTTTAATTATTTAATGACTTTGTGTCTTCTGGTGATAAATCTATTTCTTCCCTCTTTTTTCAAAGGGAAAAAGGGTGTTGGTGTGGCAGCAGGGTACTTGGCCCATGCAGCTGCTGAACCCCAGCCCTGCTGTGCCCTGCCTGTCCCATATAGACAGGGAGCCATTGGGCAGAGGCATCTTGTGCAAACCTCTGATCAACCTGTGCTGGGCTGAGCACTTTCCTCTGCAGAGCTGGCACAAAGTTGTAGCTACAGAAAGCAGAATATATGGGATTTAAGGGAGTTTTGCAGCAGAAAAGCACATCTTCCTTCCCCAATGTATATCTGTGGCAGCTTGGCCTTTCCTCTGCCCAAATATGAGTGTACCAGGCCAGCAGAGTGGAGACCCATGTTCTGCCTCTCATGGGAGCCTCTTGTTGCTGCAGCTCCTCCAGTTGGTGATGATTTGGGATTAAGTTTTCACATGTGCCTGGCATAGTCTGACAGGAAGGAGTGGAGTGAATGAGCTGTGGATAAGGCTGAGTTCCTTCACCTGAAGTACTTTGGGTTTCTATGCCATAGCAATGTATTTGTTCAGCCACAAATTTAAAAATGGCTTAATTCTCCTTGCAGGAGTTGAATTTTAGTAGGAATAGGCAAAATCTCAGACTAACCTGAATGCCCTAAACTGTCTAGGCATGGAAGGGGCTTATTTCTGTTCTGCTTGCTTGCCTGGTGCTGAAGAGAATATGCAGGGAACTCCCAATTGTTCCTCAGTCTCTCCAGACTCATCTCACTGTACAGCAAGAGGTGACACTGGTTTATAGCATAGTGAGCTTAGGACACATAACGTGGAATGGGTTGGGAATAGAGCTCTGCTGATTGCTGCATTTTTGGTGGAATTACTGCACTGGCTTTAAAAAACCCCTGAGATATTTTTCCATATTTTCAGAAGAATTTTAGTTATGGAGTTCTTTGGTAGTTTTAGCTTGTTGGAAATCTGGGGTCAGACTTTTTGGCCATGTAGTGTCCAGATTTCAGCACTTGCATCTGATTCAGGTGCAGCTGCTGTGAAACTGTGAGGATTGGGAAGGTCATCAGTGTCGGTGCTGGAGGTCTGCACAGGCTTTCTTTGATGCTGAGTTTTATTCAGCCATTAGCCAGAAATTAAAAAGAAGAGTTTTTGGAGCTTCGTGTCACTGCTCTGTCATTTGTGTGCATGGGGATCCCTTAAACCTGCGGAGACTGGCTTGGGAAACAAGGGGTGCATTGGTGGATTCCAGAAGAATTTATTTGCAGTGTAAACATGTTGGTCAGGAGTCATTAATATGACATTCACACAGCTCTAATAAAGTACATAACACGGAGATCTGGCACCGCCGCAATGCCCAGAGGACATTAAGTATGAGTCTTAAAACCAAGAGTATTGGAAACAAGATATTTTTACGTCTCGTTTGGGAGTAATATAATTGCATTTTGTGGCTCTAGCAGATGCTTGGGCCAGCTGGTTGGAGAGCATTGTGGGGGTTTTTAGCTTTGGTACTGTAAGCGACAGCCCTTATATAGAGCTAGCTAAAAAAAAAATAATAAAAACACCTCTCGTGGTGGAAAGCCCCGGCACTGGCGTGTGCTGTGCTGTTGGGAGTTACAGCCTGGGGACACTTCTGCTGCAGTGGCTCTGGAGATGATACTGCATGTGGTTTGGGGGTTTGATTTGAGGCATTTCTACATTGAAGGCAGTTTTGCTGACCTCACCTGTTCAGCTTTTGCTATGCAGGCCCCTCTGAGAGGACTGGGTGATAATTTTTGGAAGATAACCATCAAAACCCTACATTTTTCTGAGTATATCATAGGGGGCTTATTTTCAGCACAGTCTCTGTGGCCATCTCTAGATACCAGGACCCTGCTGGTGTGGTAACAGTTGTCACCTTGTGGCCACCCTGGCTTTGTACCCAGGAAATGGATGAGTGTCTGTCCCTTCCTCAGGCCTGTTTACAGGCACTGTCGTGAATTATGTCGCTGGCGCCGATAATTTCCTGCAAACAAATCGGTTCTGATCTGGAAGTAATCGCCCGTATCATTCCTGCAAGTGGGAGCAATGACTTATGTTGATGTCACCCGCTGGCTTTTTATGGCAACGATTAATAATTCAGTAATTCTCTCTGCAGTGATGCTGTTCTATTTATAAATATTTTATTTAGCTCCCTGTGTCCGTATTGTCGCTACCCTCCCCTTTGCTTCCTGACGTCATACCGGGCTCTCGGCGATGCCGTGGTCACCGCAGTTACCAGCAAATTCTCTGTGCTGGGAAAATGTTAATGCCTTTCCTCATTTGCATCTCTTCATTGTCCTGTTTAAGCCTGGCCTTGGTGGCGTGGATGTGAACATTTACTGAGTGCTCTCTGTCAGTCAAACCCCGATTTCAGCTGCAGCCTGGCCCCGGGGTAGGCGGCTCCATGTCTCTGTTATAAAACTTTCCAGTTCCCAGCACAGCCATGCAAGTAACTCTGTTTTCTTTCTGCATTTCTCTTTCAGGAAATTGCAGCTTATTTAATAACGTTTGAAAAGCATGAGGAGTGGCTAACAACCTCCCCCAAAACCAGGTAATGTTCTCCTGCTCAGCACATTGACTCTCTCGCGCTGATGACTTGACTCACTGATCAATGCCTTGACCACCAAGTGGAAACTCCCAGTCATGCCTGATGGCTTGTGACACCAAACTCTCATTAATTGCCTTAATGAGCATTTTATTGAATGAAATCAGATTGATTAAAAATGGAACAGCTACAGTCTTGGCAGGTTAAAGTTTTAACCCGATTGCTCAGGATTTAATTGTATCCCTTCAGATGAGCAGATCTGAAGGCTCTGAGCAAGGTCGCGGGCTGTTTATCTTGACAGAGCTCCCTTGCCTCTAACTTTAAATAAATAAAAAAGCACCAGCCCCACCATGTGCTGCCTGTTCACAGACAGGCACGGGGATTGTTTGTGTTCTGGTGTTTCCCTTGCTGGGGTTAAGTGTTTGATGGTGAGGAGGTCCCAAAAAGCTGCATTAACAGACATGTTTGCAGTTTATTATTCAGTAAATGTCATGTCTTCTTCGTGCTGCCATAAATGTTTAACTTCTCGCTCCCCTGGGAACCCAGACATGGAGTTTTGGCTGTGGATGTTTTCCTGCTGTTTCAGCTATGTTCTGGCTCCATACGTCTCACTAACGCAGAGAACGACTCTTGCTTTCTGGTCTTGCTGGGCTTTTGCTGTTTTTCTTTTTCCCAGTCACCCCTTTCCTATTGCAGAGGGCTGGGCCATTGGAAGGAGCCTGCTGGGAGCCAGGTGAGAGAAAAGCCTGTTCTAGCATCCTGCATCCCAGCATCATCCGTTGCAGGGGCCGGTGCCGCAGGCGCCCGGAGCAGCGTGCTCCAGGTTTGGCATCACCTCCTGCTGCCATGAGCAGGGACAGAGATCCCAGTGGGACACGGGGAGCAGTGCCACCCTAACAAACAGCACAGATTGATTCCAGGTGTTCCACAGCACCCAGCTGAAGAGAGGATGGACGTGAAGCCTTCTCTGCACCTCTGCAGTGCAGCTGCAGGTGGGGCGCACAGAGGACCTGCTTTCCATGAAATATGGGAACAAAAGAGCTGTGTTGTTTTACTTTTGTGGGCTTTCTCCCCCTCAAACTGTGTATTTTTGTGACATTGGTAAGTAATGCATTTGCTTGTTGTATTAAAATGTGGGAAGGAGATGTGGGAAACCCAATTGTTTTCCCAGTGATTGTCAAAGACCTGGAGCTACCATGGTGATGGAAGGGCCCTGAATGGATCTTTCCTGCTGGTAGCAGCTGTGAGGCTCTCCTTGGCTGCAGAACAGCAGGTAATTCAGTTAATATTAGCAGTAGTTTTTTCTGGGTTGGTAATCCCAGTTTCAGAATTAATTTAAAACAATTTCTGGCTGAGACTTTGCCAGAGAAGCCTTTTAAGGGGTCAGAAAACACATTAACTAGTCTGGCTCTACATGGTATCATTAAAGATAGAAAATTATAAATGTTTTTGTAGCAGCATCTTCTGATTTTAAGAGCTTGGTTTGCTAAAGGCAATGCATGAAAATAATTCTCTGATGAACATTTCCTTGTGTCTGCAGCTCTCTCCACAGAGAGCACAAACACATTTCCTTGCCTTCCTCTTGTGTGTTTACACTTGGAAGAAAGAATGTCCCAGGAGAAGGAAAGTTGTGACATGAGTTCAAGGTCCTTCTGAAATTGTTCAGTTCATTTTCTATTTTTTTTAATATAAAAATTAATTGGAAGAGTTAAATGCTGAGTTGCTACAATCAGAGCTCACTGTATTACAGAATTAATGACATCGATTTGGCACTGAACTGGAACACTCCCCACTCTTTGTTTGCTGCTGTGGGTGCTACTAATTTCATCTCACAAAATTAATAAAAATTAATTGCATCACTGACACACAGAGAGTTTCCTAATACAATGATGTGTAGTGTGCTGTGAGGAGTCACTGCTGGATGGATGCCATGGGGGCTCTGGGCATGGCTGGACACTGCGTGTGGGAGCTGCTGCTGCTGCACCTGTGGGCACAGGGCTGATATTGGTGATGGGGTTTTGGTGCTGTCCAGCCCAGTGAAGGAACTGCTGCAGAGGGTCAGGCCAGCCTGGGCTGTGATGCCTCACAGGTCACTGAGCTAAGGCAGAGCATGGCAGTGAGGGCTGAGCTGGTTTGGAGCCAGGCTTGCAGTTTGAAATGTTTTCACCTCTTTCCCAAACAGAGTTTCCCATGTTTACAGCATGGATGGATATTGCTTTAGTCATGGACATGAAGGGGAGGCCCTCTTGCCATTGAAGGAGCTATAAACCTTTGCAAAAGGGCCCTAAAATGACTTTTTTCTGAAACTTCGTGTTGAATGACTCCAGTTGACTGAATACACTGATATAAATATACTGGAGCATTATTACAACAGCCTTTTGAGCGCTCCGGTTTATCAACATAAATTAGCAAGTACACCTCACAAGCAGTGACCTTGAGCTCCCTTGGAATGGTGTTTGGTTACTTGATGTGTGGGCAGAGGGTTGATATTGGTGATGGGGTTTTGGTGCTGTCCAGCTCCAAAAGGAAGGAACTGCTGCAGAGGGCCAGGCCTGGCTGGGCTGTGGTGCCTCACAGGTCACTGAGCTAAGGCAGAGCTTGGCAGTGAGGGATGAGCTGGTTTGGAGATGGTTTGGAGCCAGGCTTGCAGTTCTGAATGTTTTGTTCTATTAACATGAGATACTCTCTGTCCCAAACAGAGTATCCCATGTTGCAGTTCTGAATGTTTTGCTGAACGACTTTCTTTTCTTGTTGAAAACTTCTCATTGTACAACTCCAACTGACTGAATACCCTGATATAAATATACTGGAGCATTATTACAACAGTCCTTTGAGCGCTCCGGTTGATCAACATAAATTAGCAAGCACACCTCACAAGCAGTGACCTTGAGGCTGCCTGGAAATGGTGTTTGGTTACTTGATGATGTGCCGGGTAATCCACAGCGGGTGTTCCGGCAGCGGGGCGGGGGAAGCGTTCTGCTAATGCAGCAGGGCCAAGTGGCTGACATTTCCAAGTTTAAATGCAAATCACGATGACAAAAAAAAAAAAAATTACTTGACATTTATATATCAAGTAGAACTTAATTGTTATTTACTTTGGAATTTCAATGACAAAGTCAATTTTCTGAGTCCAGGAGCATTCTGCCAGAGGGAGATACTTTGTTTCACTGTTTCCAGGTGCCTTTTGTCATTAGCATTTGTACAGTATTTTAAAAATATTCTTGAGCGATCTGAGGTGATGTCACTGTTTCACAAGTGGGCCCCAGGCAATGGAAAAGCCTTGGCTGTGCTCAGAAGCTGCAAGGTCAGTTTTCCATCTGGGAATGCAGTTCAGATGTGTCTCTGTCCCATAAAGGACACAGGGGGATTGCTGGGGGGACCAGCCCTGCTCCATGGTGAGAGCAGGATGGGTGCAGTCCCTGGAGTCTCCCCACCTCCTGTCCAGGTCTCCATTCCTGCCCAGAAAGCACACCCTGTGCCTTACCTGTCCATCAGTCCAGCATAAGGAACATCCCCTATCCGGGATATCAGCAGCATCGTAAAGAAAAGTTAGGATCTTGCAGTATATTAATTCTGTATTAAATAATTAATAGTAAAATTAATTGAATTACTCCATTTTCAGGTAAAAAAATAGGGTAATAAATATTCATAACTTACATTATTAAGGGAATTTCCATTTCCTATGTCGTTAAAGTAAGATTAGGTAAGGTTGGGTTTAAATGAAGATTGAAAACAATTGTGCTTTGGAATTAATTCACTGTGTTAGGCCATTACCTTGTGAACCTTCTTTCCAGTGTGCTCTATGTGAGAGCTGTCCCAGTGCATGGGTGGACGCTGCTGCCAGGATGTCCTGGCTGCTGGGAAATGAGACAGAGGCTCCCTGTGGAGGAGAAGTTCCTGGGAACTGGAGGTTGTGGAAAAGCAACTGCCCAGAGCTGTGATTGGTGGCAAAAGTTCTGTCCTCTCCCCTTGTGCTAGTTGCAAATAAAAGTCCTCTCGAGACTTTGTTTAGACTTTCAAGGCACGTTTTAAAGGTCCTGCTCTCTCATATGGCTCGTACTCTCCATAGGATCCAGGACCATTAACCTTGCCTGTGGGCAGTGCTGAAATTTGGGTTTTCTGCTGGTGCTGCTGGGAGCTCTGCTGGCATGTTTGGGGTCACACACGACCTATTTTCCTCTGTGGAAGGCAGCGTGTGTGTGCTGTCAGCACTCCTGGCTCAGGATGCTGCTTGACATAATCCCTGCTAAATGTGGCACATCTCTCTTTACACTTTATAGATTTCATGACTCTCAACACTTTCTTCTCGCTGCTTTCAGTATTTCCTTCTCTTTATTGTCCCTGCAGAGAATAAACAGTGCACAGATGGTTTTAAGAGCCCTTCGTTCGTATGGATTTTTAGCTGCTGTGGTCCAGGGGTGTTGAGACACCAATAATGAATTCTTTTAACAGCTCACTGTGTCGATTGTAAAGTGACCTAAGGGCAGAGTTGCTGGGAGCCATCCAGATGCCTGGCCTGACTCAGGAAAAGATCTTCAAGTATTCCTTCCAAATTCTTCCCATGGCGAACCCAGCCTGGTGTGTGCTGCTCTTCTGGGAGAGCTGGTGTCCCTCTGTTTTCAGCTGGCAGCTCAGGAGAGCTGTGTCACAGCAGAAGATGTCACTGCCCAACTTGGACAACCAAGGCAAGAGGTCTGTGTTTCTGTTGTGGATTCACCTGGCACAGAGGCTGAAGGTTGGCCCCCCAGTGGCTCTGCAGCCTTGGGCTTTCCCACCTGTCAGAGATGGTGGCTCCACAGCTGGTCCATGCACACAAACACCTGCCCTCACTGCCTGGCTTTGCAGGCACACAGGGCTGGGGTGCACAAACTCCTTCCCCTCTTCATGTGGACTCATAAGAGTCCTGCAGCGTTGCCCCTTGGAGGAGAAGAGAACTCTGGAAAACATGGAATAGGCACAAAAAACAATTATCTGATAACAAAGCAGTGAAATCATTCAGCAAACCC